TAGATGACTAATGGATGCCTTTGTCATGGTTGAGTTTTATATCATTATTCACTGTATGAGTTTACGCTTTAGACATATTTGTATGTATCTGTTTTCTAAGATGTGTTGCTCTCAAGTCTCAATCAGGTAGAATTCCAGTTCAGTTGTACATACGGAGTATCAATGAAGATATTGACGAACTAGATGACTAATGGATGCCTTTGTCATAGTTGAGTTTTATATCATTATTAACTGTATGAGTTTACGCTTTAGACATATTTGTATGTATCTGTTTTCTAAGACGTGTTGCTCTCAAGTCTCAATCAGGTAGAATTCCAGTTCAGTTGTACATATGGAGTATCAATGAAGATATTGACGATTTAGTAGATGCACTCACTATCAATAGCTGGGACAAAATCTCTTACGTAAATCGACCAGTTGACATTCAGTGAGAAGGTAAGAAATATATTTTGAACAAATATTTTGAATTCTGCTATTATCTATTCTTTACTCTTCTATTTACGCCAACAAGTGAGAATTACCTCGATTGAAGATAAATTATTGAAAGCAAGACTTCAATAGTTGGGACACGAATTGGATAGACTCAATATATGTCCATCGATTAGCTTAGAATAATTGTCAATAAGCGAAGGTTCAAGTCCAAAAAATAGCTTCATCTAAGCATGAATTTGGAGCTTGTAATTATACATCTTTTCGAAAACTTCATTCATTTAGCAATTTCTAAATCAACAAGTCTTGACTTTTGTAGAAATAATCCATGATTTGAAGGTGAACAAAGCGAAATGAAGCGATTTCAGACATCAATTTGACAAAAGGATGGTGTTATACGAAGGCCGAGAACTTTTGGGACTCGAGAGAATTAGAACTAAAATGGACAATTCGTAAAGTTTAGGGACTAAAATGGAAGGCTGAAAAAATTCAAGGACAACAATAGAAGATGGAAGGAGCTCAGGGACAAAAAGCACGATAATTTGAAGATGGGACCTGACACGTTTCAGGTCAGCATGAGATGAACGGAAAAAACAAGTGGGCTTCTAAAACCTAGCTAGCAATGTTAAAAATCTATAATATATTAAATATTGCATCAAATGAGAATTATTTTGTGGACGATTTTAGTCATACTACGATTTAATTATTTCAATAGTTCCTTA